ATCTTTATATCTAAGATTAAATATTTGCCAACCCAAGGATACAAAGACTTTCACCTGTGTTTTCTTCTAAAAATTTTGTATTTTCGGGTTTTACATTTTTGTCTGTCATCTGTTTTGTGTTAACTTTGGATATTGTGGGAAGTATCAATCAAAGTTCATTTTTGCATATGGATATCCATTTGTTCCAGCAGCATTTGTTCAAAAGATGATCTTTTCTGCATGGAATTGTCTTTGTAATTTGCCAAGAATCAGCATTCCATCTATGTGTAGCTCTGTTTCTGGACCATCTCTTTTTGTCCATTGATCTATTTATCTTCATGCCACATTGAAGCTGTCTTCATTACTATAGCTTTGTATGAGTCTCAGTCAGCAGTAGCTGTCTAACTTTGTTATTTTCTAAAGGTTATTTTGGCTATTCTGGGATCTTTGCATTTCCATGTGAATTATAGAGTCAGCTGTTACATTCTTGCAAAAAGCCTTCTGAGATTTTGATTGGGATTTTGTGTTAAATAGATAGCTCAACTTAAGAATAATTGACATCTTAATATTTAATCTTCTGACCCATAAATATTTTATTGATTTTTAGTGGGAGAGGGAGGGAGGGAGACAGAGAGACAGAGAGAAATAGATGTGAAAGTGAAACATTTATCGGTTGCCTCTTGTACACCCCCCACTGGGGTTTGAGCCCAAAACTCAGGCATGTGCCCTGACCGGGAATCAAACCAGCAACCTTTTGGTGCATGGGCTGATGCCTAACCAACTGAGCCACACTGGCCAGGCCCTGACCCATAACTATTGTCTCTCCATTTATTTATATCTTTAATTTATCTCAGAGTATTTTGTAGCTTTCAGTGTATAGGTCTTGGCATCCTTTGTCAGATTTATCCTTAGGCAGTGTGTGTGTGTGTGTTTTATGGTACTGTAGTGGAAAGTGAAATTTCAAAAATACTGATTGTTGCTACTACTATATAGAAATACAATTAACTTTTATACATTGATCTGGTGGTATCCTATTGTCTTGCTAGAAAACTCCCTTATTAGTTCTAGTACCTTTTGTGTAGATTCCTCAGATTTTTTAAATATAGATAATCATGTCATCTGTGAGTAGACAGTTTTACTTCTTTCTTTCCAGTGTAACTGTTTTTATTTATTGTCTGATTGCACTGGCTAGAACCTCCAGCCCTCGTCTTGTTCTAATATTAGGGGAAAAGCATTCATGGTGCTTCACCATTACAGATGCTGTTTTTGTACACGTGTTTAAAGTGATCAAGGATGTTTCCTTCTATTCCTAACTTGCTGAGAGCTTTTGTCAGGAATGGATGCATTATGCTTTAGTCTTTGAGATTATTATATGGTTTTTCTATTTTAGTGCATATGATAAGTTACATTTATGTTTGACTGGGAAGCCAACCTTTCATTCCTGAGATAAACCCTACTTGGTAATGATGAAGTATGCCTTTTATATATGGTTGAACTCAATTTGCTAAACTATTTAGAATTTTTGCTTCTATGTTCATGAGGGATATTGATCTTTAATTTCCTTCATTATAAGGTCTGAGTCTGGTTTCAGTATCAGTAACACTGATGTCATAAGATGTGTTAGGATGTGTTTCTCTTTTTTTTTGTCGAGTTTGTCAAGAATTGGTATTCTTTTTATATATTAGATAGAATTCAGTGGTGAAAACTTCTGGGTCTGGACTTTTTTTGTGGGTAGGTTTTTGTAATTTTCTATCCTTTTAGCCTGCGTGTTTATATTTAAAGTGTAAATGTTGTAGGCAGCATGTAATTGGGTCGTTTGTGACCCCTTCGAAAATGAGGAGAATATTGTCCACATACCCATCAGAATATTTCCCCTTAGTTTTTATTGGTTAGGATTGTGTCCAGGGCTTGTGCCTAAACCAGTCACTGGGCAAACAGGAACAATGGGATTACTATGATTGGCTTAGCGCAGTGCACCCATCCTCAGTGTGTCTCCAGACAGCTGTATCAGTATCCCCTGGGAACTGGTTAGACATTCCGAGTTCTTAGACCCCATCTCCAAACCTACTGAATCAGGTAGACTTGCCTGTAATCAGGTCTTAGCAAGTTTTGTTTCAACAAGCCCTCTTAGAGATTTCAATGCACCAAAGATTGAGAACAACTGGCCTAGAATAACCTTTTCTGGGGGTCTAGAGAGCTACCCGGTTCTGGACAGTTCAGGAGTTCTTTAGCAGGGGAGGGTGAATGGGATGGATTTACATAGGTAGGTGATAATCTTGTCCCAGTAGACGGAGGTGGGGCCCAGGAATATAAATTTTTAACTAATCAATATACTCTTGATGAAGGCAGGATTGTCCACATTCTCAGGGAATGATGATATATTGGGATTACTATTAAATCGATTCAAACAGATATTTTAGAATCCTCATTTGCAATAGGAGTTAGCAGATTGTATCCTACTGGTACATTGGGCCTGCTGCCTGGTTTATATGGCTGGTCAGCTAAATTTTTACATTATTATTTTTTTATACTGCCTACAAGAAACTCACTTTTTTTATTTAAAATTTTTATTGTTGACACTATTGCAGATGTCTCCCATCCCTCTCCCCTCCTTTGCCCACCTCTATCCAGCTCCTGTCCCCTTCCCCTCCTTTGAACCTCACCGCACTGTTGTCTGTGTCCATGGGCTATGCATATGTGTTCTTCAGCTAATTCCTTCACCTTTCTTGATCCAGTCTCCCTCACCTTCCTCCCCTCTGACATTTGCCAGTCTGTTCCATGTATCCATGCCTCTGATTCTATATTGTTCATCAGTTTGTTTTGTTTGTTAGATTCCATATATTAGTGAGATCATATGGTATTTGTCTTTCTCTGGCTGGCTTATTTTGCTTAGCATAATAATCTCCAGGTCCATCCAGGTTGTCTTAAAGGGTAAGAGTTCCTTCTTTTTTATAGCAGCGTAGTTGGTCCATTGTGTAAATGTACCACCGATTTTTAAAATATGTATTTTAAAATATGTTTTTATTGATTTCAGAGAGAGGATGGAGAGGGAGAGGGATAGAAAATCAATGAAGAGAGAGAATAATTGGTTAGCTGTCCCCTACACACCCCCGACTGGGGATGGAGCCTGAAACCCAGGCATGTGTCCTGATCAGGAATCAAACCTTTACCTCCTGGTTTAACACTCAACCACTAAGCCACTGATGGGCACTTAAGCAGTTTCCAGATCTTGGCCATTGTAAATAATGCTGCTATGAACATAGGGGTGCATATATTTTTTCTGACTGGTATTTCGGGATTCTTAGGATATATAATCAGAAGTGGGATTGCTGGGTAAAAAGGCAGTTCTATTTTTTATTTTTTAAGGAAACTCCACACTGTTTTCCACAATGGCTACGCCAACCTACATTCCCACCAACAGTGCACTAGGGTTCCCTTTTCTCCACATCCTTGCCAGTGTCGGCCTGGGGACTGACTAAATAATATTTGTTATATTACTAAATAGTTAAAAAAAATCAAAAGAATCCTATTTCATGACATCTGAAAATCAGCTTTTAATGAGTATGGGTAAAGTTTATAGGAACTTATTCATTTGCATATCATCTATGATGTCTTTGGACTGCAATAGTAGAGTCGAGTGGTTGTGACAGAGCCTGGCCCACAAAGCCTAAATACTTACTAGCTGGCCCTTTACAGAAAAAGTTTGCCCATCCCTGACTTAAAAGAATAATTTACCAATGAACAGTATATTCCCCAACCATCCTGGATAACTGATAAATTACTCTAGTAGGTGGGAGTCCTGACTATAAACAGTAAAAGAGTGAATAATGAAGTGTTATTTCAAGAAAGTGCACTCATTAGAATTATGGTAACTTTGAAGGAATATTACTTTAATGAGATTTGTAATTAGAAGCAGCTTTACAAAATAAGGTCAATTATTAGTGATTATATAATTTTCTTTCTTTTTTAAGTTAACTATTGGTTAATCCTCAAGATAAAACTTTTTATATAACCTTATCACTGAAATTCTAAAATTTACCTTAGCACCGTATATCAATGATAGGAAATCTTTGTTTTAACTTACAGTGCCTCCTTGTTATTTTGAACCTACCCATTATTATGTAACTAGAGGCCCGGTGCATGAAATTCGTGCACTTGGTGGTGGGGTCCCTCAGCCCAGCCTGCGCCCTCTTGCAGTCTGGGTGCCCTCAGACAAGCCGTTAGTCAGACATCCTTAGCGCTGCCGCAGAGGTCGGAGAAGCTCCCGCCACCACCGCTGTGCTCACCTGCCGTGAGCCCGGCCTTAGGGCTTCTGGCTGAGCGGCGCTCCCCCTGTGGGAGAGCACTGACCACCAGGGGGCAGCTTCTGCATTGAGTGTCTTCTCCCTGGAGGTTAGTGCGTGTCATAGCAACCAGTCATTCTGCTGTTCGGTTGATTTCCATATTAGCCTTTTATTATATAGGATGGTATAGATGCTGGAAGGGAACTCTTCCTAAAATACATTCAAAAGCTGTTTGTTTGGCTTTAATAAGAAAGAAGCACTTACCAAATTTAGAATAGACTTTGACTAGAGAAGTATCTGATTATTTGAAGGTTGAGAGCATGAATAAACAACTGACATTCACTTGTAAAAAGGACATAAAATTTGCTTTGTTTGCTATGTCATGCTTATGTACATTAGCTCAAGTTCATGTAAGATTCTATTGCCAAGAAAGAGATGAAAATGTTTCTTTCTAGAAAAGTGAGGTAGTCAGATCATCCTGGTATCTGTTCAAGGTCAGTTCAATAACAAAAGCCTCCAATCTCTGACTCTGAGATATATTTTCAGAGTTTTTGGAGTCCTTCCCACCAAGCTGCATCCCCATTCTACTTGGGGATGTTTGTCTGTTAAAAAGTAGTTTGGGTACTTAAACTAATCAAATGTGAGTTCTGTTTTGGTAGAAATTGTTAATAAATACGTGTTATTTTCTCTAGAAGACAGGTAATCTCTACATACCTATATAATACCTATAATGTAGATTTCTCTTTTTAAGGTTATACGTTGGGTCTTCAAAGACATTCTCATCATCAGAAAAATCCCTGAGCCCTTTGCAGTGGTGTAGACACGTCCTAGATAACCCGACTCCGGAGATGGAAGCAGCAAGGCGCTCCCTGTGCCATAGACTGGAGCAAGGTAATTGCAAACTGATACCTTTACATTCTCAGACTCTTGACACTGTCAACTCTGTTTTTGCTGATTTTGGAATAGATACTTAAATGGAAAAGCCTTGCCCTGAGGTGTGGCTGTTGCATGCACTTCACTTCACATGTATTACACATCAGGGGTTCTTAATATAGAACATATTTAGTTATTAATATAGAACATATTTAGTTTTTAATATAGAACATATTTAGTTTTGTGCTTATTTTTTAGCCAGATTTCTAGCTTGTATTAGTTTGTATTGTACAGTAGGAATACATTTTTTTTCTTTCTGTTTGCAAATATGCTATAACTAAAACGGGTCAGTCTTAAATTCTCTGGGGATAGTAACAAGGTTGTGTGGCTGAATTCCAAGATAGAAAACTGAAGATTCATTGGATGTGAGTACTGACCATTTTAAGTTCCTTAACTGTTTAGTTGATTGTATAACTGGAAGTACTAACCTTCATAAATAGGAAAATAATCTTGTATTATATGTAGCATTAATTAACTTATGGAGCCCAACACAAGTTTAAATTAAAAAAAAATTAGGACTGTTGTAAAAAGAAAAATGGCAAAAGAAATGAGTAGTACTCAGCTCCTTTGATTAAGTAGACTACTTAATTAAAGCTGTGATTATTTAGGCTTTTGATTGTCTCTTAACTTCTCAGTATCTGATTCATTATCTAGGAACACTATTTCTATCCCATGGACTACCTGCCTCCAGTTGTCAACTTGAGTTTGAAAATGCAGATTTCTGCCTGGCCAGCATGGCTCAGTGGTTGAGCATCCACCTATGAACCAGGAGATCACAGTTCGATTCCTGGTCAGGGCACATACTCAGGCTGCCAGCTTGATCCCCAGTGTGGAGTGTGCAAGGCAGCCAGTCAATGATTTTCTCTCATCATTGGTGTTTTCTAGCTCTCTTTCCTTCTCCCTTCCTCTCTGAAATCAATTAAAAAGAAAGAAAATGCAGATTCCTGCCTCTTCCAGACTAAACAATCAGTGTAGCTGGGAGTAGCGCCAAGGGAATCGGCATCCACAAGCTCACAAGTGTGGCTCTTATGGGCACTGCAGTTTGAGAACAGTGCCTATGAAGCTCTTCAGGGATAATGAATGATTATAAAAATATTTGGACGTGATAAGACAAAGTATAATAGGTAACATTTCTTGAGCTCTTAATTCTGTGATAGAACATTAAGTTTTTCATATCCTTTATTTTATTCAGTCTCACCCCACTCAACTGCGGTTGGTACTATCCTCACTTTTAGAGGTGAGAAAAGTGAAGTTTAGAGAAATTTGGGGGATTATGAGGCCAGAGTGATACCCTGGGGGCAGAGATAAGAGCCTGGATGTCCCCAGTGCCGAAGACTGTCCTTAACCAGTATTCTCAACTGTGTTTTTTGTTTGTTTTTTGGCACAGTCATTAGTAAATTTCAGTCTGTTTTAAATATTTGGGGAAGATCAAATTTAAAAAGCATGTTTTATTAACATTTTAAAGTGAAATAAGTTATTTAGTAATAGAAAGTTGAAGAGTGGAATAGGAACAAAGGAGTATTGGGGTTAAAACTTTGGCAACAGATGCTTATCTAAGAGAGCAGCTCTCAGAGTCAGAAGAATAATCTTGATTCTGTTCCCTTTTACCTGCATGACCCTAAGCCACCATTTAATCCCTCTGGATGTTTCCCTTTCAAGGTTGTTTAGCTCATCTCTAAATTTCTTTATCCTTGATTCAAGGACTTTTTAGATGTACATTTTTTAAATACATGAATGTGTCTTAACTTTATTTAAAATAAAATTTAGAACTAGAGTTCTTTAGCTCAGGGGTCACAGACTTTTCTGAAAGGGACCGGATAGTAATAGGTTAGGCTTTGCAGCCCCACAATCCTTGCCATCACTAGAAAGCAGCCATAGATGCAGACATTAATGAACATGGCTGTTTTTGTTGTTTACCTTCTGACATTGAGATTTGAATTTCATGTGATTTTTTTTTCATGTGTCACAAAATAATATTTTTATTTTTTTAAAGCATTAAAAAGTGTTAAAACCATTCTTAGCTGGTGGGTATTAAACAGGCAGATTGGATTTGGGCCCTTCAGACCATTTGCATATAGGGTACATTGACATATACTCTTTTTTTTTTTTCCAATAGGGGAGAGGCTTTTGTTAAATTTGATGTAAATAATCCTGATTGCTGGGGGCTTTTGAGAATTTAGACTAAGTGCCTGATTATCTGATTTTCCACTCATTGACTAGGGGCTAAAGCAGAATTGTGAGGTCATGGGGAAATGAACTGAAAGCTGGAGTTTTATTTATGATGTTACTTATTTAAATTTTGTGTAATAGAAGTTAAGCAGAGAACTAGCATTTCAAAACCAAAATTAGTCTTTTGCTAAATTTGTAAATCCTCTTTTGCTCTAAGACTAAATGCTTTTGTTCCAAAGATCCATAATCCCAATATGAGATAAGAAGTAACCCTATAGAACAGGTAATCATTGGTTGAATTTCTATTTTTGAAACTTATATTTTATAAAGCATTATGTCTGTAGTTTAGAAATATTAGTCTTATGGGTAATTTAAGAAAAATAGCAAATTCCTACCCCATCCTCCCATTCCGTTTTATTACCTAGGTATAATTACTTAACAAAAACTATTTGGCCCTGGCCAGTGTTGCTCACTGGTTAGAGCATAAGCCTGTGCACTGAAGGGTTGAAGGTTCAATGCCTGGTAAAGGGCACCTACCTCTCCTGGGTTGCAAGTATCAGTTGGGGTGGGTGTGGGAGGCAACCAATCGATGTCTCTCTCACATCTCTCTCTCTCTCTCTCTCTCTCTCTCTCTCTCTCTCTCTCTCTCTCTCTTCTACTCTTCCTCTCTTCCTCCCCCCCTTCCCCACCTTCCACTCTCTCTCTGAAATGCAATGGGGGAAACAATCTTCCAGTTAGAATTAACAATAAAAGCTATTTGTTTTTATTTTGTTGTTTGCCTCTCTTTATAAATTCCATGCCTATATGGCTATTGCTTGAGTTGTAAATTTTAAACATTATCCATTGGCTTTCTGCTTTGGGTGGTGAAGGTTTAATATTTTTTAACAATTCCCCCCTCTCCCGCCCAATATGGTACTTTTTTTTTTTTTAACATATCCTCCCATGTAGCTTTTTACTAATTTTAGGATGCATCAATTGATTATGATAGAAATAGTCACATCTAAGCCACACAATATTTTATCATTATGTTTCTTTTCTCATCTAACTTTCTGTTTTTCCTAAAGTTAATTGTAAAAAGACACTTACTTGATTTTTTTGGTCTTTGTCATTAATTTATCCCCAGACTCTCCAAATGAGCCATCCTTTGTACAGTTGGACATATAAAGCCAAGTTTGTTTGTTTGTTTGTTTGTTTGTTTATTTATTAAATATATTTAGAAGCCAAGTTTGTTTGTTTGTTTGTTTGTTTGTTTATTAAATATATTTAATGATTTTAGAGAGGAAGGGAGAGAGAGATAGAAACATCAATAATGAGAGAGAATCATTGATTGGCTGCCTCCTGCATGTCCCCTACTGGGGATCAAGACCACAACCCAAGCATGTGCTCTTGGACAGAACTGAATCTGGGACCCTTCAGTCCGCAGGCCGATGCTCTATCCATTGAGCCAAACCAACTAGGGCAAAGCCAATTATTTTTAAAACAACTGTTCCTCCTGGTAGTGTCCTGTGTTCTCTTACTCCAGACTGAACTGGCTCCCTGTGGCCCTGTGCACAGCTGTCACGGTGGGCCTTCCTTCTTCTCTCTTCAGTGCTGTATCACCTGACTCCTTGCTGGAGAGAATTCCTTTTCCTTATATTCCATTTTAGTAAAATATATTCTCCTGTTGCTTTTTGGGGGAGTAGGAGAGAATAGAGGATCCATGGGAGAGCCTCATATGTCTGGAAGTGCCTTGGTTGTACCCTCACTCTTACACTGGATTGGTTTTTGGACTCGGTATGGAATTCTATGGTTTCTCAGTATAGAAACCTTTCCAACAGAGTTTAGAAGGCATTAGTCCATTATATTTTAGCTTCAGGATTGCTTTTGAAGTCCTGTTCCTTTCTTGTTTCTGATTCTTGTGACCTTTCTATTTAAAATACACTAGGTATTTTAGAATATTTTCTTTCTGATATTTTGAAATTTCATTTTTGTGCTAGACAGTCAGTGTGTAATTCAACCTGGAAACTCAAGTTGGGCAAAATTTTAAGCATTACTTCTTTATAATTCTCCCCTCCCCTCCAGTTTTCTCTGTTCTTTCTTTCCAGATACTCCTTTTATCAAATCTCAAATCTCCTGGATTCCTGTTCCCATTTCTCTCTCTCTCTCTCTCTCTCTCTCTCTCTCTCTCTCTCTTATCGATTTTTTTTCCTACTTTCTTGGAGATTTTTTTAAAAAACCTCTTCTACACTCTTTGCTGCATATTTATTAAGTATCTTCTGTGTGTCAGGGACCATTGTAGGTTATGGGGATACAGCAGTGATCAAAACTGATGTTAAGTCCCTGTGCTCACTGAATTTTTTACCTTCTGGTGTGTACTGACTTTACACTTACTCCTCCTGTTTTTGTGTAAGATACTCTTATTTGTGTAATGTAACTTAAATATAGCAGCTTTCTGTTTCAGTTTACATAATAAAAGCCATCTTTGAGGAAAGCAAGGGAGGGAGCCCAAGGGTTTCAGTACTTTGCTATAGACTTTGAAACAGTTGTCCTGTTTTGGTTTCATCCTAGAATCCCTACCCTCTGTGGTACCTGGAACCTTCAATTCCTGAACCCTCCCAGGTCCTTGTTGGCTTATCCCCCACTGTGGGCCCTCAGAGCAGTGAGTGCTGAAACGGAAGTCTGTTACCTGATGTTCATCTGTTGTCTCACTTCTGAATGAAATGACTTGACTTAGCCTGATGGGGCCTCCGCCCCTATTGTCTTTCATCTGGGTTTAGAAGACTTTTAGTTTAGTTGCCATTCTAGTGTAG